CAGGTGCACACAAGCTCACATGCACACAAGCTCACATGCTCACAAGCACACACAAAACCCCCCCAAAAGGAACAGGGAGCCCTCTTCAGATTTCAAACTAACGAGTTTATTATAAGAGCTCCATTCTCTAGATAGGAAAGATAAGGGACAGCATATCTAATCTAACTAGCTGGGTTTCCAGAGATGCAAGACATGTGTGCTGCTCTCATGGTGCCAAGATGGCGAGTGAGGCAATGTGTGCAAGAGAGGTGTCAACCCGGAAGGAAGGAACTTCCATGAGAGTAGCAATCTGTGCTTCAAAGGAAAAGAAGAGATTGGATTTATACCCCACCCTTCACTACCTGAAGGAGTCTCAAAGCAGTTTACAATCTCCTTTCCCGTCCCCTCCCCACAACAGACACCCTGTGAGGTAGGCGGGGCTGAGAGAGCTCTTTTGAGAACTGCTCTTGAAAGAAATTGTGACTGACCCAAGGTCCCCCAACCAGGTGCAAGTGGAGGAGTGGGGAATCAAACCCGGTTCTCCCAGACTAGAGTCCGCGCTCCTAACCACTACACCAAACTGGCTCTCAAAACCCTTGAGCCGGCTCTGCACTCATAACATGAAGCATCTTTTTGATTTTTCAGAGGAAGTCCTAGAAAATGCAGTGTCAAAGGCACGCAAAGGTCAATTCCTGTTATACCGGGCATGTGATCGCTTCTAACGAAAGGGTAAGTCGAGGGAACACCCTTTGAAAATTCTTCCTCACTTCTGTGGGCTTGTTATTTTGTACACGTTTCAATCTATGAAAGATGTTGCAATGCATTTTGAGGCTGGCTGTTGGAAAAAGAGGTGCCGGGACTCTCAAGAAGGAAATGAAGCTTTCAACCTGTACACTGAAAACTCGCAACCTTTTAAACATTTTAAAAAGAATTTTGTCGAAGGGGTTCCGGAACTCCATTCCCCCAGAAAAGAAGCCCTGAATTTGGACACCATTTGGTTGGGTTTAATTCCAGGGGGAGGAGGGAGACACATAATGAAGGAAATAAATATATCAGAATTGAAGAGTGGTGTACAAATGTACCCTTCTTAATTGTGGACTCCTGAGAGTAATTAACTGAGACCGTGTTGTTATGTACGGTGACCTTACAGGATCCTTTTCTTTAAGCTCGTGTGACTCAGGCGGGGGCGGCGAGTTCCATCCACTGGGCGGCGAGTTCCATCCACTGGAAGACAGAAAATGAAATCAGGGGACCCCCCAAAGGTGCCTCTGGACTGTGCTTTTAATTTAAGACAAAAAGGGGATTTCAGTAAAAGATGGCCAGAAGGAAAGGAGGGGAGGGTGCTGAGGATGGAGGCAAGCCGTGTTTCCTTCCAATGTGGGGGCCACACAGAATCCCTGTTTCCAGGGGTCATTTCCTGCAGGAGCGCAGTGGAGCGGAGCTCCGGCAGTAAAGAGCCCAGGGGGCGGGCACATGCAACAAGCCCCACCCCCTGCTCCCAGCAGCCCTCAGTCAGAGCAAGAAGCAGCCAGGTAAATTGCAGAGCCCCCCCCCCCAGCCCCCTGGCCCAAAACAGTCCAGTGGCACCTTTAAGACCAAGTTTTATTCAGGTACAAGCTCTCCCTCCTCTGCACGTTCCCCCCCCTCAAAAGCTAGCAATCCAAAGCAGTCCAGTGGAGCCTGAGCGGTGGGTGTTGCCTTCTGATGTCAGGGGGTGTGGCATATGCAAATAAGTTATGCTAATGAGTTATGCTAATGAGCTCCTGCACCTCTTTTTCTACGAAATGACCCCTGCCTGTTTCTAAATCAAGAGCAGCCATGTGCCATGATTCTGTAGGGACACAGGGTTTCTCTGTCACCGGCATCTTTACCAAAAAGCTGTTGGCATTCAGAGGGCCAAAAATGGCAAGATGCATCATGTTGGAAGTGCCAATAAGGCCTGCGTGGCCAAACCCTCCCTCTGTGATTAGGTCCCTCTCACCGGAACCCCCTCAGGCCCTCGGACCATCAAGGTCAGTGCCGTCTACTCAGACAGGCAGGGGCTCTCCAGGGGCTCAGGCAGAGGGGTCTTTCCCCAGGTCCTTCCGCATTCAAAGCAAAGGCATTTCCTCTCTTTTATAAGCAGCAGGGCTTTTTTTTTTGTAGAAAAAGCCCAGCAGGGGGAACTCATTAGCATAATAGGCCACGCCCAACAGCAGAAACTAATTAGCATATTAGGCCACACCCCTGACAGCACAGCTCATTAGCCTATTAGGCCACACACCCCATGTTACCAGAAGTGTGGTCATCTAGCCACACCCACCTTTTGCTTCTTATTCTGTTTACTTCGTTGTCAAAACCCTGGGCTTTTTTTGTAGCAGGAACTACACCCCTAATGTAGCCCATCTTAATGAGTGTCTGCTGTTGGGTGTGGCCTATTATGCTAATGAGTTCTTGCTGGGCGTGGCCAACTCAGAAGCCAGCCGGAACTCCGTTCCTGTGCGTTCCTGCCCAAAAATAGCCCTGATTAAGCAGTGTCAGAATCAAGAGTTATAACAAGGCCAGTCCAGTGCTTCACTTCTGAGGGCAGCCATCTGAGAACCACAGCGTTCCTGCCCCAAAATAGCCCTGATAAGCAGTGTCAGAATCAAGAGTTACAACAAGGCCACCAGTGCTTCGCCTCTGAGGGCAGCCATCTGGGGACCACGCTTCATGGTATTAGATAACAGGAGAGTGTCTTCGCACAGGAAGAAAGTAACAGGGCACTCGGAGTCAATGCATTTCCCCCCCCCCCCAAATTGCTCTAATGCAGAACTTCCAAGGGGTTCTGTTTGGAAGAAGAGGAAGAGGAAGACGAGATTGGATTCATACCCCGCCCTTCACGACCCGAAGGAGCCTCAGAGGGAATTCATGGAATTCACCGCCACAGGAAGTGGTGGCGGCTACATGGATTTCACACATGGAATCCACTGCCACAGGAAGTGGTGGCGACTACAAGCACGGACGGCTTTAAGAGGGAATTAGATAAGCATATGGAGCAGAGGTCCATCAGTGGCTATGAGCCACAAGGTATAGATAGGGGCTCTGGGGCAAGTGATGCTCTGTCTTCTTGGTGCTTGGGGGGGGGTCAACAGTGGGAGGGCTTCTGATGTCCTGGCCCCACTGGTGGACCTCCTGATGGCACCTGGTATTTCTGGCCACTGTGTGACACAGAGTGTTGGACTGTGTGGCCTGATCCAACATTGGCATCTCTTATGTTCTTATGAGGGGGTCACAATCTCCTTTCCCTCCCCCTCCCCACAACAGACACAACCTGTGAGGGAGGTGGGGCTGAGAGAGCTCTCCCGAGGACCGCCCTTGAGAGAACAGCTCTGACAGAACTTGTGACTGGCTCAAGGTCACACCAGCAGCTGCATGTGGCGGAGTGGGGAATCAAACCCGGTTCTCCCAGATTAGAGTCCACCGCTCTTAACCGCCACAATAAGCTGACTCTACACCGAGAGACAGTGAGAGCGACGTTAGTTGTGAGAATCTGGTGTCGGCCTCCTGTTCCTCACCTCCTTCTCAGTCATGTTGACGACTCCATCGCCGTTGATATCCCGGCGTTTGCATCTTCCTGTGGGAAGGAAGCAGGAAGTTTGTGAAACCAGGAAAAAAAACCCTGATGTTTCTCTTACTGACAGGTCTTGCCCGGACCATAGGATCCTCAATTGGGCAGGACCAAGGATACCCGTGTCCAAACCCCTGCTCAGTATCGGCTTGGGGAAACCTCAGGTCTGAACTCAAAGGACTGTTGCGAGCAGGGGTCATTTCCTGCGGGAGCGCACAGGAGCGGAGCTCCGGCAGTAAAGAGCCCAGGGGGCGAGCACATGCAACAAGCCCCACCCCCTGCTCCCAGCAGCCCTCAGAGCAGGAAGCCGCCAGGTAAGCTGCAGAGCCCCCCCCTCCGGTCCCCCAGTCCAAAACAGTCCAGTGGCACCTTTAAGGCCAAGTTTTATTCAGGTACGAGCTCTCCCTCCTCTGCAAGGACAGATCTGCACATTCCT